GGATATAGCTCGCTCACACCGAGGACCTATCCACGTCATCATTTACCCAGAATGCTTTGCGTGTAAATAAAATGGCTCCGTCCGTGTTAAAATATTAATTTAAAAAATTAACAAAACTAAACAGCCTACAGTATTTTTACAGTCTTTATTTTACAGTTAAAATATTTGTTTATCAAATAAAGTCTGATGTTACAACTAATCATGGATCCCTTTAAAAAAAATGAGTTTGTTATGAACTAAACCAGATTTAAAAGTTCGCACCAGTTGGAGAGAGCCTGGAGGGCAGAGTTCATGTAGCAGGTGTTGCCTATATTCTTCAGTCCCGTCAGACCTGAAAGAGACGCAGGACATCGTGAAACAAGCCTTCAAAGACAGGAAAAGTGTCTCATTTCTACAATTATTCTTTTAAAACAGGAACAGAAAATCAGCTGTTTAGTTGGAGGCTGCACACTGTGAAATTATCTTATTTATTCGTGTAGAATGTGAAAATTTAACCCCAAAAATCATCTTTAAATTTCAGGGTGGGTGTCACATTATTTACGGAACTGTAACCCAGCCAGAACTGCAGATCTATGCAGCTCGCACTGTGTGATTGGTCAGAACTTTGTGGGCGTGTTTGTTCATGAGGATCAGCGTGTGCTCCCAGAAGCTGACTGACGAGAGGCACGTTAGCAAAATTAGCATTAGCAAAACGTGCGGTTTCGAGGAGCAGCTCGTCTGGTCCTACTGAGCACAAAGCTCCATAAACAGCAAAAAAACAACCCCCTCCTCAGACTCATGACTGTCCACAAAGTCGTCTACTAAAACATATTTTCATCCTAAATGCCAGTTTTCCCGTGGTTTTGCTATAAATATACATAAAACGTAAGTATATCTGTATCACAGTCATCATATGATCATTTTATAGCTATGTTTACTAGGGCTGCAACAATACATGTACCCATATCGAACAGTTCAATACACACCTGTATGGAACAATACAGATGTTTTAAATTTTATTTTATCAGCTTGTCTTCTGAAGATGCTCTGTGTTGAAGGATCAGTGGATCTGTGTTCGACTACTCCACCTAGGCTGTATTTTTGAGCTCAGATCCACTGAGAAACTTGCTGTTTCAGCAACATTTAATTTAAAAATTAAATGAGGAGCTTAGTTCTTGGCTCCACTCCTCCTGTCAGACTGTACTGGATACTGTGGCTCCTCTAAAAACTAAACAGCCTAGAAC